TCTACCACCAAGGCCATATTTTCCAAGTACTAATGATTCTTCTTTGTTTCCAACTTTAGTCTTCCAACTACCAGCAATTACCAGTGCTCCTTGATTGCATGTTTGGTCAGTTTCAGACTGCAGAAGTTGGTAAAAATTTTAAATTTCTTCATCTTTTGTTTCAGTAGTTAGTGTATAAATTTGAGTAAAAGTAGTATTAACTGGTCCTCTATGTAGAAGTATAGATATTATCCTATCACTGACCACATTGTAAGGAGCTCTAGTGGTGTTGTGGTTAAGGCATTTGGCTGCTAACCAAAAGGTCAGTGGTGAACCACCAGCTGCTCCACAGAAGAAAGATGAGACAGGCTACTTCTGTAAAAGTTTACAGTCTTGGAAACCAACCCAATGTAGGATTGCTAAGTCAGAATCAACTTGATGGCAATGAGTTTATTTTGGTTTTGCACAGCACTATACTTCAGGATGGATGCTGAAATGTACTTTTTGATGAGAAATGTGATGTTATTCCTCTCCAGTTTGTCATTCCTGGCATACCAGACCATATGACTATCTGATTTAAAATGGCCAATACCAATCGACTTAAGCTCACTAATACTTTGGATATCTTCATGTGTTCCCTTTCATTTTTGACAACATCCAATTTTCCTAGACACATACTTTGTACATTCTATGTTCTGATTATTAAAGGATGTTTGCAGTTGTTTCTTCCCATTTTGAGTCATGACACAGCAGCAAATGAAGGTCCGAAAGCTTCACTGTATGCACATCATTAAGGTTGCACCCCAGTTGTATTCTGAGTGGCCTGAAACCCAAGGCGCTCATCTTCCAGCACTGTATCAGTTTCCCTACCATTCATAAGGTTTTCAGTGGTCTCTTTTTTTTTCAGAAGTGGACTACCTCTTTCTTCTTGCTAGTCTGTCTTAGTCTTGAAGCTCTGCTGATAGCTATCCATCATGGGTGACCTTGCTGGTATTTGAAATACTGGTGACAGAGCTTCCAGCATCACAGCAATACACAAACCACCACAGTACAACAGACTGACAAGTGGTAGATCAGGTAAGAGAAAGCAAGGTAAGAGAGTGCAGTGAATTGCTTGATGTGGCCCTTCTAGCCATTGTCCTCCATTCTGTGATGTTTTGTAAATCCCATTATCCATGCCTATTCGGGGTGGTGTGGTAGTTAAGGTAAGGTATCAACTTGGCTGGGCAGCTGGTAGTAGTCATTCCCTATAATGACTGGCAATCGACTCTGTGATGGGATTTAGATTAATTCTGTAGGGGCAACACAGGTGGAATGTATCTTGAGTCCTGCCCTGCTGGAGGGTATAATTCAAATCACCACCCTTAGCTTCCTTGAGGGTATACCTACGAATCTCCTGGGAAGATTCGTCCTCCTCTTGCTCCGGCTTTCTGTCTTGGATCATCCTCATCTCACCCCTGGATTTGAGACAGCAGCCGTCATCTGATCTGCTGATCGAGGTTCATCAAACCCCGAGAGTTGGGAAGATCCACCAGACCTACTCACGGACCCGGGACACGCCAGCCTGCCAGCCTCCACCATTACTACGTGAGACGAACCCTTGGGTGTCTATGAGTTCTGTGAGGCGTTACAGTGAAATACAGAACCCTAAGACTGGGGAAATTACTGGGAGGAGGAGGAGGTGTTAATGTCTGAAATGATGGAGTGGCATGGTAGTTTGGACATTTGGGACATCTTTGACCTCCATCTCATGGGGACTGGCCTCGTGCTGATCTTTCTAAGAGAAATTGTTCAAGCAGAGAGTAAAGATGCAAGACTAAGACTAGGGCTAAAAACAATAAAACTATATATTAGGACAACAAATGGCAAGACTAGCTGGCACAAGCACTTTGTGTGATTATTAGAGTGATAATGCCAGAAGGAAAAAAAGATGACAGGTTTTATTTTATAAAAAGGACATATACATTCAGGGATCATGCAGCCATTGATCCAATATCTACTGAGCACTACTATACACCAACCACTATTCTAAGAGTTCACATTAGTGAATGAAACAGACTCCTGCTCTCATGGAACTTAATCCCAGTATGAAGCAGCATTAAAAAATAATAAAAACAATATAGAAGTACATTATTATATAGTACATTAAAGGTGCTGAGGGGTGCAGTCAGAAAAAAAAAAGAGGATGATATGAGAGAACAATTTGCAGGGTAGGTAGGTACAGACTGGTATTAAATAGGTTAGTCAAGACAGGCCTCAGTGAGAAGGCAAGATTTGAGTGAAGACTTGAAGGAATCAGATAGTTAACTTAGTAGATCACTGAGGAAAGAGTGTTCCAAACACAGGTTAAAAAAAAATAGCAAAAAGGTCCAAAGGTGAGAGCAACATACCAGACATATTCGAAGAACTGCAAGGAAGCCAGTATGGCTGGGGTTAAATTAGCAAGGGCAAAGACTAGTAGGAGATAAAGTCAGAGAAGTAGCAGAAGGCCACATCAATTAAATTACATAAGACACTGGAGGCCATTGTAAGGAATTTTGTTTTTACACTAAGTGAAATATAAGTTCTAAAAGAAGAGTGATATGGTTTGATCTGTTTTAATAGGATTACCCTGCCTGCTGTGCTTAAAACAGTCCATAGGGCTTCAAGGGTAGAACAGAAGCTGGATGACCTATCAAGCAATGATGGCAGATTCCAGCAAAAGATTATGGTGACTCGAACTAAGATGCTAAAAGTGAAGATAGTAAGAAGGGGTCGATTCTGGATGTATTTTGAAAGTACAGGAAATGAGATTTCTTGATGGATGATATACAAGTAATGATAAAAAAAGTCAGGGATGACACCAAAGCTTTTTGTCTGAAAACATGAAAATCGGAACTGCCATCAATTGCGGCAAAGAAGGTTTGGAGGGAAAAAAGGAGTTCAGTTCTAGACATACTAAGTTTGAAGATATTAAATAGACATATTTAATCTAGAGTTTACAAAAGAGGTGTCGGTTGGAGATATAATTTTGCAATCGTCAGCATACAAATGGCATTTAAAGCCATGGGAATGTATGAGGCTGCCAAAGGAGTAAATACAGACAAAGAGGAGACCATTAGGAGGTCATGGAAAAGAGAAGGAACCAGAAAAGGAAGCTCAAAAGAAGAAATCAGTGAGGTTAAAAAAAAAAAAAAAAAGCCACCACAAGTGTGGTTTCCTGGAAGGCAAGGAAGAAAACATTTGAAAAAGAGTGAATTATCAACTTTCTGAAAAGCTAATTAAGAGGGATAAGATAAGGAGCTATGGTGGCGTAGGGCCTAACCTGAAGGTGGTTAGTTCAAACCCACCAGTTATTCCGCAGAAGGAAGATTGGGCAATCTATTTCTATAAAGATTTACCATTTGGAAACCCAAAGGGGGTCACTATAAGTGGAAATAGATTCGATGGCAGTGGGTTTGGTTTTGGTTTAGGTGTAAGATGGAGAACACTGGTGAACTTGAAAAGCATTCTCAGTTTAGTGAGGGTGAAAGCCTATTGAGGTAGGTTTAAGAGAATATGCAAAGAAAAACTAGGGGCAGAGTGTTAGCAACTCTCTGGAATTGTTTTACTGTAGGAAAAAAAAATGGTGGCAGACAATAGGGAAATAAGGTTAATTTCTGGCTTTTTGCTTTGCTTTTTTAAAGTGGGGACGATATATGCTGATCAAATGTTCTTTGTTCTTGTGTGTTGATGGGAACAATACAACAATATAGAGGAAAAATAGAGACAAGTGGAAAGAACTGCTGGAACTTTTACACTATGTGGACTAAAATGATTAGATCTAGTATACCAGTAAGGGGATTGCAGGGTAGAAGCAATAGGCCAGTAGACAAAGTATGGGACGCTGAAGGATAATCATGTGATTAAGATGTGGTAGGAGTGTGAGTATAAAATTTCTTTTCAAAGTAAGTCATTTCTATGATCTCTCTCTAGTACACAGAAATTACCTACAAACTGAGTCTCAAAATCCTCTTCCCTTATAATGGAAAAACTAAGACAGTGTCTTCCTTTTGCAAGTCAGTTGTTATTGGGAACGTGATTTAGTAAGTCTCTATATGTTGGTAAGAGCAAGGAGAACTGTAGTTACATACAAGCATTAAGCCTGTATGGTGCCAGGTGGCCAAGTCATTATGGCAAGGAAGTTTAAAAAAAAAAAAAAAAAAAAACAGAAAGGGGGAAATATCAAAGAAAGTAAGCTTTTAAAAAATCATTTTTTGAATGGATATCCAATTCCCTTACCAAGTACAAGGGAAAAGGGATACCATAGCTTGTTGGGTCAGCCAGCTTCCAGACCCCATTGAACCAAAACACCAAACCGAACTCACTTTCACTGAGTTGTTTCCAACTCATAGCGACCCCCATTGGGTTTATGAGGCTGTAAATCTTTATGGAAGTAGATCACCCAGTCTGGCTTCCACAAAGCAGCTGGTGGGTTTGAACTGCTGACCTACCGGTTAGCAGTCAAGTGCCTTATCCACTACACCACCAGAGCTACTATTACTACCCCATTACTACCAAGGAAATTTCCAAATGTATAAGAGAACTCCCAAACTATGAGGAAATAAGTAAGTGTAAAATATTGTTAAAAGCGGTAATAGTTAAAGATTTTGGGATTCAAGGAATATTATTATTAGAGTATATTATTACTGAGTGTATTATTTGAGTACAACATTATTGAGTACATTATCTCAGTAACTGAATTGAATGTTAATTAGTTGAACAGTAATACTGTTAAGAGACCAGTTACTCTCTTTGTGCTCTCTGCATGTGTTTGTCCCCCTGCCCCCTAATAAACAAAATCCATTGCAGGTTTCTCTAACTTAAAACCCCACTTACATATTCACAAAACTATAGAGTTGTTTATCTAAAAAACAAAGTCAGTCATTATTTTAGTATGTAAAAACCCATTAACTCCATATAAAGCACAGGATTACTATCAGAATTATGAAAAACATTAACTGCCAGTTTCCCTATCATATAAAAGGTATTCTATCACTCACTTTTAATCCAGCTGCATAGCCCACCGGTTGTGGTGCAATGTTGGACTGTCCAGCCTCCCCAACCACCACAGCTAAGCCAAAGACCTCCTGGAAGGCATCTCGGACAGCAGCAACTTTTACTTCCTTATTTGAGGTCACTACAATATCCAGTTCACCTCCAGATTCTACAAAGACCAGAAGAAAATGTCAATTCCAAATTCAAATCACCAAATTCTCATAATTACTACCATAGCACATGCTAATAATTATTACTAACCTCACAAAACCAAACATAACAACAGGAAAACTGATGAAAAGAGTGTAAAAAGTCAAACTGTGTTAAATCCATTTCTAACACTTCTTATGCATTCTTGATATATCTGAGATTGTTAAATTAAGAAATTTTTATAATATTTGCATAAAAATACTTCATTTTATTTTGAGTTCTAGACTCATAGCGACCTCTCCTTGGATTTCTGAAGCGGTATCACTACAGAAGTAGATTGCCCAATCTTCCTTCCAAGGAGTGGCTGGTGGGTTTGAACTGCCAGCCTTCCAGTTAGCAGTCAAGTACCTTAGGCACTACGCCACCAGGGTTTTCAGTTACATCAGAATGGTCTTGCTTCTACTGCTATCAATGAAGTGTCAGCTTTTTCACCGTTTTATTACTTTTTTAAAACTAAGATTATATGCTATTATAAACAAATATTTGTTAATAAAAGAAATGTCATTTATATTTTTTTCCTTGGTTTTATGCCTTTTTCTTATTGTGAGAGAATACTGGCTTGAGAAGCAGTTAGTCCTGGGTTTGAATCCTGGCTTTATAATTTACTAGCTTTGCTACCTTGCGAAATCACTGAGCTTGTTTCTTCGTCTGGCTCTAAGGAGTAAATAATTGCTTTCAAAGTCTAACACAGTACCTATTAAAACAGCAAGAGTTCCATAAATTTTAATTGCTTTCCTACCTTCATTCAAAATACATACTTGTGGCAAAAGAATACTTATGATGTACTTATTAGATATGTCAAATGTGATTATTACGAATACATGAAATCAATACATGGTAGAGTCTAATTTATGAATCCTTTGGACAGTTACAAAAACAAAACAGAATTCAGCTGATTTAATTGCTTATTCAATTTTCTACTTGAAGGAGACAAAGTGGTCAAGAATAACAGAAATGGACATGGGTTTAATCTAGATCCACAAAACTATGTGACCTAGCATAATAAATTTCTCTGAACACACATTCCTCATCTAAAACTTGAGGGAAAATAATTTCTACCTTGCAGAGTTCTTGTGAGAAATAGTGCCTGGCAGACCAAACATTTAATAAATGGCACTTATCATTGTTGGATCTTGTCATCAACATTTACTAGATGGCAAACTATCAACATAGCCAAGATAAGTAAATACTGTTAGTTTTTTACTGCAAATTAAATTCCGGTGCATGTACCCAGTCAACAGCTTTGGCCTCTAAGTTGTTGTCTTCTGTAGGCTTACTAATGACTGGTCAGTGACACCGCTAAAGCACTGCTGTTGTTAGGTGCTGTCGAGCTGGTTCTGAATGACAGCAATTCCACGTCCAACAGAAAAAAAACACTGTCCAGTCCTGTGCCATCCCAACAACTGCTGCTGTGTTTGAGCCCACTGCTGCAGAGCCAGGCCCTCTCACTGAGGATCTTTCTCTTTTCCTCTATTTTACCTAACATGATGTCCTTCTTCAGGGACTGGTCCCTCCTGATAACATATGTGAAGTATATAAATCAAAGTCTCATCCTCATTTCTAAGAACATTCTGGCTGTACTTCTTCCAAGACAGATTTGTTCATTCTTCCAGCAGTTCACGGTATGTTTAGTACTCTTTGCCAGCACCATAATTCAAAGGTGTTAATTCTTCTTCGGTCTTCCTCATTCATGTATGCCCTGAAAACATTTGCATTTTCCTTTTGTTTTCTAGCTGTTTCTATCTACAACTCTGTAGAGATCACACTCACTACTTGATTGATTTTCAAGACACTGGCACTAAAATGAAGGAGCTTTGATGGTATAGCAGTTAACATATTCAGCTGCTAAACAAAAGGCTGGGGGTTCAAACCCACCAGCTGCTCCACAAGAGAAAGATGAAGTAGTCTGCTTCTGTAAAGATTTACAGCCTTGGAAACCCTACTAGCAGTTCTACTCTACCCTACACAGTTGCTGTGAGTCAGAAATAACTCAACAGCAATGAGTTTGGAATTTTTTGGTTTGGCCCTAACTCTTCCCATTCAGGCTGTGCTTGACACAAAATTAGCAAATGGGTAGTTCTACAGGGGAAAAAAAGAATAAAAAAGGAACTCAATCGGGTTGAGCTAAGGTTTCTTAAAGCACAAGGATCATTCCTTGCCCAGATAATACAGCATCAGTTGCTGGAACTGCAGCAACTGAAAGAAACATGTGGCTCCCACAACTTGTGAAATGCTACACTCCCAGATAGGCAAGGGTAAGTGTGAGCTCTCTAAATAGAAACTATGAGATGAATTTAATTGTGAGTGTGGTAGTTAAGTTGTGTGTCAATTTGGCTGGGCCTGGTTTTGAGTGGCTGGGCAGCTGGATGTAGTTAATTCCCCATGAAGAAAATGGTAATCAACTCCATCATATAATCTACTGGAGCAGCAGAGTAGCTACCTTAGGGATGTGGTCTGCTTGTAGTATATAAGGAGAAACGTTGAGAAAGGTCTCTGAGCTTTTGCGCATGCTTAAATCCTGATTGTAGCTGAGTCTTGATCTCAGTGGCCTGACATATTGTCTGCTAAACTTGGGACTGTTAATGAACTGAATTAGTGGCCTGCCATATTGCCTGAAAATTTTGGGACTGTGCCATTTTACTTGTCGACCTTGGGTTTTGTCACCCTCAGCAGCCAGCAGTCCTCTGAGTCAAGAGAAGCCTCTGGCTTCAGTGGGCCAGGAACAAGAGCCAGAGCTAAAGCCCAAGGTCAAGGGGCCCTCACCCAGCCCCTAGAGCTGGCACTTTAAACTCAAACTTCTAGCCTCCAAATCCATAAGAGAATAAATCCCTGTTTGTTCAAGCCCCCTGTTTGTGGTATTTTCTGTTAGAGTGGCACTGTTGTTGTTGTTGTTAGGTGCTGTCGAGTCGTTTCTGACTCATAGCAACCCCATGCACAGCAGAACGAAACACTGCCCGATCCTGCGCCAGCTCCATGATCCCTGCTATACCTGAGCTCATCATCACAGCCACCATGTCAATCCATCTCGTTGAAGGTCTCCCCCTCTCTCATCGACCCTCCACCCTACCAAGCATGACATCCTTCTCCAGGGAATGGTCCCTTCTGACAACATGACCAAAATAAGTGAGACGAAGTCTGGCCATTCTTGCTTCCAAGGAGCATTTCGGGTGCACTTCCTCCAGGACAGATCTGTTAGTTCTTTTAGCAGTCCATGGTACTTTCAGCATTCTTCACCAGCACAACTCAAAAGCATCAACTCTTCTTCGGTCTTCCTTATTCATTGTCCAGCTCTCACATGCATACGAGGCAACTAAAATATCATGGCTTGTGTCAGGCATAAATTTAAATAATAGTCATATTAATGGGACTTCCTTGTAGGTGTATGGATATTATTCTATCACTGACAGCATTGTACTTCAGAACAGATGTTGAAACATCCTTTGTGATGATGAATGCCATGCCATTCCTCTTCAAACTGTCATTTCTGGCACAGTAGATCATATGGTTGTCCGATTCAAAATGGCCAAAACCAGTCCAATTCAGCTCACTAATGCCGAGGATATCAATCTTTATGCATTCCATTTCATTTTTGACAACTTCCAATTTTCCTAGATTCATACTTTGTACATTCCATGTTCCAATTATTAATGGATGTTTGCAGCTGTTTCTCAATTTGAGTGATGCCACATCAGCAAATGGAGGTCTTGAAAGCTTTACCTTATCCATATGAGTAAGGCTGGGTTTACTCAGATGATGCAGCTCTTTCCCACTCCTATTTTGAGAGCCTTCTAACCTAACCGGACTACTCATAAAGTTGTGCGGTAATGTATCAGACAGTGTTTCTATGCTATTCATAAGGTTTTCCCTGGCCAATTCTTTGAGAAGTAGACAGCCTCTTCCTTCTTCCTAGTCTGTCTCAGTCTGTAAGCTGGGCTGATACCTGTGCACCATGTGCATCCTGCTGGGTTTGAAACACCAGTGGCTCAGCCTCAAAACTCATATCAACACATCACCAAGGTAGGACAAACCGACAGACAAGTTTGTCTCCCTGTTGGAAACCTCTCATACCACCCTTACCTAGGTCCCTGCGGCTGACTCTAGAGTTGCACCAGAGGATCAAAACAGTGACCAAAATAAAGATAACTAATAATACCAGTAAACTAAGACAATTAGCTCAATGCAAGAATATCACAGATACTTCCACTGAATATATCCACTATGGAAGTGAACTGAAAGTTACAATTAGTGGTTGACACAGGTGTACTTTGAAAAAAATTAGCAGATGCTGGTATAATATAAGCACATACTGATATATGGAGCCATGCCAGGATCCAGCGTTGTAATCATGCTTTCTACCGAATGTTTGGTTTTATCAAGCACAGATTTCACCATAGGATTCCCAGCCACACCCTGCATAAAACAAATACATAAATACAAGTTATACTTTTTCATGGTATTGGTAAAAAATACTGAATATGCTCTGATTATACCATAAATAATGAATATACCATGGACTTCCAGAAGAATGACCACCAAATGTGTACAGCTTTACCAAAGCAAACAATGTCACTAAGATGCACACAAAGAAAAGGAACTTTTGGTGATTGCTATGACATATTTAACTTTGCAACAACAATCAAAAAATCTACATGTGGGTATATACATATATGTACATAGTTATGCATATGTGTTTATATATATATAGGTGGGTGTATGTATATGCATGTATGTGTGTGCACACATATATAGCACATAAGGGACACAATTATGCATACTTCTTAGACATTACCAAATAGCTTCCCTGATTGGTTTTCTGGTTTGAAGGCTTAGGACTATAGTCTCATGAGACAATTCAGTCAACTAGAAAATATAGTTTATAAAATTTATGGTCTACATCCTAATCTGGAAAATAGTGTCTGAGGTCTTAAAGCTTGCTAGGAGCTATCTAAGACATAACTATTGGTCTCTACTTATCTACAGCAAAAGAGAAAGATGGAAACCGAAGATGCAGAAAAGAAACTCGTCTACAGGACTATAGGACTATCTACAAGAACCATAGCCTCATCTATCCTGAGGCCAGAAAAACTGAATGGTGCTGCCTGGCTACCACTACTATTGTTCTGATGAGGGCTATAATAAACGGATACTGATAGAAGGGGAGAAAATTATGGAAGAAAACCTAAAATTCTTAAAACATCTAGACTAACTGGACTGATTCAGACTGGAGGATACCTAAGACTACTACCCTGAGATATTTTTTAAAACCTTGAACCTAAACTACTCCAAAACAAACCAAAACCAAAATTCACTGCCGTCTAGTCATATCTGACTCATAGCATCCCCTCCTTGGGTTTCCAAGGCAGTATCACTACAGAAGTAGACTGCCCAACCTTCCTTCCAAGGAGTGGATGGTGGGTTTGAACCTCCAGCCTTCTGGTTAGCAGCCTTAGACACTATGCCACCAGAGGTGACCTTATTAGTCAAACAGATTGGCTCACAAAATAAAGAATATCATCCGTGAGTACTGCACTCCTTCAAAAAATCATCTATATGAGACTAAATGGTCAACAGTTACTTTAAATATATATATATATATGAAAAGGTAAGGGTGCAGGGGCACTGGATTATTAGAAATGAACAATCAGAACAGAAATAATGAGAATGTCCACATACTGTGAAGAAAGTAACCAGTGTCACTCAACAATGTGTGTAAAACTGTTGAATGGGAATCTAATCTGTTGTGTGAACTTTTACTGAAAACACAATAAATTATTATTTAAAAAATAAGTAGTACAGAGAGATATTAAAAAATTTTTTTAAAAAGCCATACTCCCGATACATGAAGCCCAACTACTGTAAATCAATTAGATACCTAATAATTAAGAAAACGGAAGTACAACTGGGCAATCTACTTCCGTAGCGATACCACCTCAGAAACCCAAGGAGGGGTCACTATGAGTCGGATCTGACTTGATGGCAGTTGAGTTTGGTTTGAATTAAGAAAATGTTTAATATACTGAATGAAACTGGAAATAAACCCTCAACAAAATATTGGAGGGAACCTGGTAGAATGATTCCAAAACTGACTGAGGAAACAAAAGGTAAGATTAGTGAAGAAAAATTTAAGAAAAGAGAATTTTACAAACTTATAAAGCCACATACTGTTACAACTTTATAAATGCAAAGAGTTGAACACACTTGTCTGTCTTATTTATCAATTAATACTCTCCATCCCCATCTCAGCACAAAGTAAGCTTTCAATAAATATTAGCATAATAAATGGACATACCAAAAAAGCCCACTTGAGTCTATTCTGATTCATATTGACACTAGAGGACAGAGAACTGCCCTAGAGAGTTTCCAAGGCTGTGAATCTTTATAGAATGAGACTGTCATATCTTTCTACCCCAGAGTGGCTGATGGGCTCGAACCACCAATCTTTTGGTTAGCTGTTGAGACCTTAACCACTGCACCACCAATAAACCACTGTGGTACTAATGCAAGGACAATGGAATAGAATAGAGCCCAGACAGTGACCTTAACATACAACTTAGTAACTAAGATAAAGCTGACATATTGAATCACTAAGGATATGATGTTCAATACGGTAGTGTTAACAATCAATTAACTAGTTTGAAAAAATTAGGTTTGACTTCTACCTCATATAACATAATAAAGTAGACTTCAGCTACATTAATCTATTATGTACAAAAATTAAGCCAGTAAAGAACTAGAAGAAAACACTGAAAACCAGTTTTATACATTGTGGTGGGCAAATCTTTTTGACACTAAAAATAAACAAAAATATAATGGGAAAAAAAAAGTGATAGATATGACTGCTAAAAATATAGAAGCTTTTTACATAAAATAAACAAAATAAAATTAAAATATAAACTAAATATGGAGACAGTTGCCAACATATGACAGCATACAGCAAAATATATTCACTTACAAGGGCTCTTACAAATCATTAAGAAAATCATCTCAATTTAAAACCAGGCAAAGAACATGAACAGAGAATTCATAAAAGAAAAATATAAATGGCCAAAAATCACATTAAAAAATGTTAAAATTCAGTAGCAAAGAAATGCAAATTAAAACAAGGTGGTATTATTTTTTGCCTACGAAATAAGAAAAGGTTGTTTCAAATTACCAGTTTTGGCAAGAGCAAGCTGCTGTGCCAGTGTATTTTGGTATAACTTTCCTTGAGAGCAATATATATCAGTAATTTAAAAAATGGTCACTCTCCAACATTCATCAAGAATTAATCTTGATTAAACAGAGATGCACAAAGATTTGCATACAAGAGTGCTCATCATAGTTTTATTGGTTAGAGTTCTAATTGGTAATTAGGAAATGCAGATGAGTGAAAAAAGATGCAAAACACATGAAATGGCATGTAGGGCAAAGTAGTCCTAAAAAAGAAAAAAAAAAAAAATGTTTTTAAATCACATTTCTAAAGAATATTTTATGGCTAGGAAAATGTTCATGACATCATGCTAGGTAAAAACAAACAAAAGTCACAAAATAGTGACCACGCATGTCACTACTCCAATCTGACCATTATTAAAAAGGATGTGTATCTACATAAATATGAATAGAGAAAACACTGCAAGGAAATATGAAAAATTGATGATAAGAATAATGATTATTTTTTTCCTTAACCATTTCATATTATCAAAATTTTCTAATGAATATCTATTACTTTCATAATTAAAAAATTAAAAATAATTTTTAAAGTAATTACTCCTTACCTTAATAAAACCCCAGATTCCACCAGCAGATGCTTCATCCTGACCTCTACCAATCCTGGGATCTTCTTGTTCCTCTGGGAAAGTAATGGCTGATGTGTTACCAGTTCCCTGCACCAGAGATGTTATGGTGGCTTGCTGAGTAATAGGAGTTGGCAAAATACCTATTTAATGATAGATATTTTTAATATGCATAATTCATTCTATTAACCATTTCCTATAAAAGGAAGATAACATATGAGATGAGTAGTTCAACACAGCCTTAATAATTATATACTCAAGCATCTCAAGCCAGAGCTATGAACCCAAAAAACCACCCAAACCTTATTATGCAAATTAAGCAGATTCTAAAAAGAAACTTCTTTCCTTTTTCAGACTCACACCAAATGTCCTAAAAGTGAATATAAAATATACATTAAAAAGTATTTCATATTTGTCCTATTCAATACTTGATATTGATAGGTATAGTTCTAAATTTTTTAATGCATAAAGATAATTAATGTAGGTATCCCAGCCCCTCATAAAAGCATTTAACAATTAGTACACATACTCCATATAGCCCATTTTAAATCAAAAAGAAAATACACATATACATAAGCTTTGGTATAATACTTATACTCTGCAGTACGTTTTCTCCACAAAGGTGAATAAGTAAAGTTGGACAACACAAATCACAACACAGCTTCTTTTCCCTAAAACGTGTGTGGTAAATAAAATGCAAGGTAAAATTTGCCACTTTATACATTTTGAAATGTGTAATTCAGCGGCATTAATTATGTTCACAATAATGTGCAATCATCACCACCACCTACTTCCAAAATTTCTCATCATACCCAACAGAAACCATATCCATTAAGAAGTAACTCCATTCTCCCCAGATCCTGATAATTTTTTAAAAAGGGCATATACTTTTTATTATTTTTATTGTAGTGAGGAGTTCTGATAATTTTTTAAAGTAAAGCTTCCCAAAACTCTCAGATTTCACTTTGATATATTTCTATAAAAGTGTAGAAATGTTAGGATAAATTTTTGGAAATTTTTTTGACACTCTAAGGGAAAAAAGAACAAACTTATATACTAGCTTCCAATAGCTTTCTTTTAAAATTGAAGTGGCAAAAACATGAGAAACTCTGAAACGAAAGAAATTAATTAAGAATAAAACATTAATGTAAGCAATTAGAACATTCATATACTACTGATGGAAAAGTAAAATGGTGTAGTTGTTTTAGAATACAATCTGGCAGTTCTTCAAAAGGTTAAACAGTTACAATGCAACTCACCAATTCTCCTCATGGGTATATAACCAAGAGAAATGAAAACATACCTCCACCAAAAACTTGTACAAGAAACAGTTGTACAAGTAGCAGCATTATTTATAATGAACAAAAAATACAAACAACCTACATGTCCACCAACTGATGAATAAGAAAAATGTGTTATCCATGCAATATACTATTATTCACCACAAAAAGGAATAAAGCACTGACACATGCTACAATATGGATAAACCTTAAAAACATGCTAAGTGAAAAAAGCTACATACAAAAGGCCACATATTTTATGACTGCATTCATATGAATGTCCCAAATAGACATGTCTATAGACAAAAGGAGTCCTAGTAGTAAGCGGGGTTAGGCAATTGGTTGCTAACCAAAAGGTCAGCAGATTGAAGCCACCAGCCACTCCATGGTAGAAAGATGTGGCAGTCTACTTCTGTAAAGATCACAGCTTTAGAAATGCTATGGAGCACTTCTACTCTGTCCTATAGTCATCACGAGTCAGGACTGACACGAGGGCACTGGATTTGGTTTTTGGTTTTATACAAACATTAAGTAAACTAGTGGCTGCATAGAAGGGGGAGAGTTAGAGAAAAGGGAAGAGTGACTGCTAACAGATACAAGCTTCTTTTTGGAGTGATGAAAAGTTCTAACCGTAGTGAAAACACTGTGAATATACGAAAAACCACTGAACTGTATTGTATGTATACTTCACATGAGTAAATTATATCTCAATAAAGTTGTTATTTTTAAAAAAAATTAACCCTAGCCACTTCATTCAAAGAATTCATAAGACAGAATTACCTGTTACTGTAGGTGCAGAAAATGATGGCATCAGGGGTGTCTGGGGAGCTCTTCCTGCATGACCTCTTGTAATGTCGTAAGTTGAACCAACAGAAAATCCTGATGTAGGAGGACTTGAAGAGGAAGTAGATAAAAGAGTGCTTGGGATAGAAGTTGAAGGTGGGAAGTGAGATAAAGGAGGACTGTTGAAGACAGTAGCAGTTGATGGAGAAACAGAAGGTGGTATAGAAGTAACAAGTGGTGGAACAGAGGGAACTGGTGAAGGAGACACAAAAGGTAATGGTGCTGAAGGCTTCACAGGAGGAAGGGACGGCTGAGGAGTAGAATATGTATGGGGTGGCAAGGACTGCACAGAGGATACATTTGGAGAAGAAAAAGAACTGGTTGCAGCTATAAAAAAAGGGAAGGGGAAAAAAAGCACAAAATCAGAAATGCTTTTCACTTCATTTTCAAACAATTTCATAACCTTCTTCTTACAAAATTTTCAAACTTAACAGATCATATCTCAAAAATTATTTCCAAATATATTAAACTATACAACAAATTATAACTTCCTCCATGTGACTATCAATTCCCATTTTATGTATAAGAAGCAATTAGAGACATAAAGTTACAACACTGTTCATAAATAGAGCTCTCCTTTTTCATTTGTTTGTTTTGGTATATTTTTAATCAGTGAAGCCATTTTGGGGGGGGTCGCTGCTGATTTGAACATAAAAAACTACAAACTGAAGGCTCAAAAACTGTAGTCATAAGGTAAATCACCACAAAATCATTAGAAAACTAGACAAAGCTAACAAATGTTTTTTAGAATTTTTAGTCTTCACAGTAAAGATAATTTTACAGTCAATATGAATATAAGGAACAAGTCTAACTAAAACAAAACATACATCTCCTTTCTTTGAGCTAAAATGAAAATAAAATAAAATAAAGGCTATTTTCCTTCACCCTGATAAACATTAGAAAAGTTTTAATATATGTATTACTTTTTTTAATTGACTTTGAGGAAAGACAATAGTATTTACATATCCTGAAAACATACTAGATGCTAGAGAACTACCTGTACCTAAAGGAACTGGTGTAGAAGACATAACAGTAGCAGCCAGTCCTGCAGGATTTGGTGGAGGAGTGCCAGGTGGTGTCGTCTCTATTCCACTCTCTTCCATCATTGTCCTTCAATTATGGTATACTTTAAAAATATAAAAATGGAATATTTATTACACAATAACCTAAGTGTGCTTTTAATGCCTGCATAGAAAACAAATAGTCTGATATTTAATGTGTAAACTGAATGACACTTCCATATACATATTTTACAACTGGGAAATAATTTTATGTTAACGGTGTAATTAATTTTTCAATATATTTCAAATAGTAAATTACTAATTTCTATCACATGAATGCTCATTATATTGGTGTCTAGATTTCAGTCATTAGTACACTGAAAATAAAAAATATATATATTTAATGTATTTTGAAACCCCTCTCTTATTCACATAAGGGAGCTCTGGTAGTGTAGTGTCTAAGGCACTTGACTGCTAACCAGAAGGCTGGCGGTTCAAACCCACCAGCCGCTCCTCGGAAGGAAGATGGGGCAATCTACTTCCATAGTGATACTGCCTCGGAAACCCAAGAAGGGGTCTCTTTGAGTAGGGTCTGACTCGACAGCACATATTCACATAAAGCACTATGTGGTCACACCTATGAACAAAAAGTAAAAGATTAAAATGTGCTCAACTGGATAAACACATCAACTCCCCATTTTCCTATTTGAATTTTAAAACACACCCAGTGATGGCTAATTAACATCACATCTCAGGTTTCAGAAAAGTTTACTATAGTACAAAGAGCGCTAGATGGCAGGATCCTAATAGAAAATAAGGGATTACAAAGCATGGGAAAACTTTCTCAAAACCTACACATTTTCAAGCTCACCTAAAGTATAAAAGCAAAATTCTAAGTATGCTGAATGTGGTTTTGAGGTTTTTATTCATCCAACAAATATTCAAAAGGTCAACTAAATGCCAGGTACTGTACTGGTCCCTGGAAATACAATGGTAAGCAAACATAGAATACTTATAGTCCAGTATACGAGATAATCAAACAATGAACAATATACCAATAAACAATGAAACATAACTTGAATTAAGTGCTATGAGAGTAAGGAACACTGTTTTGTTTGACAAAAAACCTGATTTTGACTTGGAGGTCAAAGGCTTCCCCAAAGAAGTCACATATAAGCTGAAATCTTAAGGATGAACAAAATTTAATTAGGCAAAAGAAAGATAAGAAGGGTAGGTTCTAGAGGAAGTGACTATATGGCATGTATAAAGGCTGTTAAGACACATTCGAAACAAGAATATTCAGCAATGAGGACTAGAGAGATAGACAGGAGCCCACACCATTTTGATCTCCATTAGCCAAGTTAAGGACTTCACTTTTGTAAAATAGGAAGTCACTGAAGGGCAGTGCTTTTCCCAATAATGGCATCTTCTACAACCACAGTATAATGATCAAACCCAAGAAACTGATGCTGGAACAATATTACTAACCAAACTATAGATCTTATTGGGAGCTCTGGTAGCGTAGTGCCTAAGGTACTTGACTGCTAACCAAAAGGCTGGCGGTTCAAACCCACCAGCCACTCCTCGGAAGGAAGGTTGGGCAATCTACTCCCGTAGTGATACTGCCTCGGAAACCCAAGGAGGGGCTGCTATGAGTCGGGTCCGACTCAATGGCACATAACAACATAGATCTTGGTGGGATTTCACTAGTTTTTACATGTACTCTTTGGGGAAAGGTTTGCATTAGAGTTGTATCCTTTCATTACACTTATTCAATCTGTATGCTGAGCAAATAATCCAATATCCTAGACTTTATGAAGACTGTGGCATTAGAGAAGCATAGTTCCATTAAATTCTATCAATATGCATAGATTTGTGTAATCACTACAACAATCCTTATACAGAACTATTCCCTCACCTCAAAGAAATTCTACTACCCTTTCATTATACCTTACCCTCCAACACTAAGCCCTGGCAATTAATGATCTGTTCTTATCATGATAATTTTCTCACTTTTTGAGTTACATATATATATATATATATATTTACACATACATACATATACACATACATATATGTAGTTAGGTGCTGTCGAGTTGGCAACGACTCATAGTGACCCTATGTATGACAGACTGAAACACTGCCTGGTCCTGTGCCAGCCTCACAATCCTTGCTATACCTGAGCCCATAGTTGAAGTCACTGTGTCAATCCATCTCATTGAGAATCTTCCCCTTTTTCACTGACCCTCCACTTTACCAAGCATGATGTCCTTCTCCAGGGAAAGGTCCCTCTGACAACATGACCAAAGTAGGTAAGACTAAGCCTGGCCATTCTCTCTTACAAGAATCATTCCAACTGCACTTCTTCCAGGACAGATGTTAGTTCTTCTGGCAGTCCGTGATACTTCAAGTATTCTTCAACAACACCATAACTCAAAAACATCAACACTTCTTTGGTCTTCTTTCACATCCAGCTTTGGGCCAGCTTTAACATCCCTATGAGGTGACCAAAAACACCATGGTTTGGTTAGGCACACTTTAGTCTTCAAAGAGATATCTTTGCTCTTCAGCACTTGAAAGAGGTCTTTTGCAGCATATTTGCCCAGTGCAATATGTCATCTGATTTCCTGACTGCTGCTTCCATTGGTGTTGATGGTGGAGCCAAGTAATATGAAATCTTTGACAACTTAATCTTTTCTCCATTTATCATGATGCTGCTTGTCCTGTTGCGAGGATTTTCGTCTTATGTTGAAATGTAATCCACATCACAGACTACAGTCGTTAAGCTTCATCAGTAAGTGCTTCAAGTCATCTTCACTTTCAGCAAGCAAGGCTAAGTCATCTGCATATTGCAGGTTGTTAGTGAGTCTTACTCCAATGCCACATTCTTCTTCATACAGTCCAGCTTCTCGCATTATGTGCTCAGCAGACAGATTGAACAAGTATAAAGTATACAACCAAGTATACAATCCTGATGCACTCCCTTCCTGATTTTAAACTATGCAGTATCCCCTTGTTCTGTTCAACTGACAGCCTCCTGGTCTATGTACAGGTTCCTCCTGAGCATAATTAAGTGTTCTAGAATTCCAATTCTTCTCAATGTTATCCATAATCTGTTATGATCCACACAAGTGCCTTTGCACAATCAATAAAACACAAGTAAACATCTTTCTGGTATTCTTTGCTTTCAGCCAAGATCCAGCTAACATCAGCAATGATATTCCTCATTCCATGTCCTCTTCTGAATCCAGCTTGCATGTCTGAAATTTCCCTGTCAATATACTGCTGCAACCATTTTTGAGTTATCTTCAGTAAGATTTTATTTGTGTGTGATACTAATGATATTGTTCGATAATTTCCACATTGTGTTGGATCACCTTTCTTTGGAATGGGTATAAATATGGATCTCTTCCAGTCAGTTAGTTAAGTAGCTGTCTTTCAAGTTTCTTGGCATATACAAGTAAGCATCTCCAATGTGGCATCCATTTATTCAAACATCTTAATAGGTATTCTGTCCATTTCTGGAACCTTGTTTTTCACCAATTCCCTCAGCATAGCTTCAACTTCTTCCTTATATACCACTGGTTCTTGATCATATGCCACCTCCTGAAATAGATGAACATCAACCAATTCCTTTTGGTACAGTGACTCTGTGTAATCCTTCCATCCTTTTTGATGTGTCCTGCATCATTCGATATTTTGCCCACAGACTCTTTCAATATTGCAATCTGAGAGCGTGAATTTTTTCTTCAGTTCTTTCGGCTCGAAAATTCAAGTGTGTTTTTTTTTGGTGTTCTAACAGCATGTAACCTTTTGAGTATGACATTTTTCACTCAGCATAATGCCCTTGAGATCAATCCAAATTACTGCATGTACCACTAGTTGGTTCCGTTTACTGAATAGTATTCTATTATATAGAGATGTACTACAGTGTTTGTCCATTCACCTGCTGAAGAATATTTGGGTTGATTTCAAGTTTTTGGCAATTCATATTTGTGCTCTGAGAAGATTCCTTTGACCAAAGTTTGTAGACTGAGCCAGAGGACAGACAGACTACTAAGGAGGATATAGAAGTAGTTCAAATAGGAGGTGATGATACTCTAAGTAATGATTCTCAAATGAAGGGCTAAGGGGTTGCCCACTCCAGGGAACAGCAGCTACCGGTGCATGGAGACATTTTTGGTTGGGAGTATTACTGGCATTTAGTAGCTAGAGGTTAAAAGCACTGCCATCGAGTTGATTCTGAGCCATAGTGATCCTAAAGGACAAAGCAAAACTGCTCCACAGAGTTTCCAAGGCTGTAAATCTTTACAAGAGCAAACTGCCTCATCTTTCTCCCATGGAGCGGCTGGTGGGTTCGAACCACCAACCTTCTGGTTACCAGCCCAATGCTTTAACCACAATGGCACTAGAACTCCTTAGGTAGAGGCCAGAGATGCTGTTAAAAATTCTAAAACACATAGGACAACACTCCACAATAATTATCTGGCTCCAAATGCCAATAGTGCCAAGGCTGACAAACTCTGGCCTAAACTAAGGAAGAGTGGAGATGAAGAAAAGTAGATGAATTTAGAAAATATTAGGTAGTGAGTATCTAAGACTTAGATATGGAAGCATGGAGGGGGAAAGCATGACTTACCCAACTGAATGGATGTTGGTGCCATTCACTAAGATAGGGGATACTGAAAGAGATCAAGGTTTTTGCTTGATATTGTTTATTTGGGGGAGCTCTGTTGGCATAGTGCCTAAGGCATCTGACTACTAACCAGAAGACTAGAGGTTCAAACCCTTGAGCCACTCCTTGAAAGGAAGGCTGGGCAATCTACTTCTGTAGTGATACTGCCTCGGAAACCCAAGGAGGGGTCAATGGCAGCGAGTTTGGTTTTTTGGTTTGTCTATTGGGGATGGAGAGGGAGAATATATAGTGTTTAGTCTTGGACATGCTGAGTTTAAGCTCCTTGAAACACCCAAGTAGAAAATGAATTCACCTAGAGCTCAGAAACTGCATGAATATGGTGTCATTAGATAGTTTCTAAAGTCATGACCTGGGGTAAGATGATCTAAAGAGGGAGTATCAAGTGAAAAAAGAAGATAATCTAAACCAATCCTTGAAGAATGACTAGGC